CCCCCCCCCCCCCCCCCCCCCCCCCCCCCCCCCCCCCCCCCCCCCCCCCCCCCCCCCCCCCCCCCCCCCCCCCCAACCCAAACCCATACCAGTAAAAGAAATCTCCCTCGGCACCCTCGGCAACGGCGCATTAATCAACTTCTCAAAATCGACCTCCTCATCCTCCACGTAAAACAGCGGCTGTCCAGGCCCCAAAGAAGCCTCCCCGAAGCGCAGCGGCCGGGTAGATTCGTAACCATACAGGGGCTCGACGTCCAGGACGCGCAGAGCCTGCGCCACATCCTGCGTCGTGAGGAGGGTGCGACGACTATGGCGCATGAACTTAAGCGCCTCCTCCAGGACCTGGGCGATGCGGTATTCCACGTCCCGGGCGAGGTTCTCGGTTACGTCGTTGTTGAGGTTCGAGATCCCGGCGGACTCGGCCACGTCGCGGATATTATCTGGGTTCCAGACGGACATCGTGGGCTGGTCTCTTCAGGGTGTAAGATGGAACGGCGAAGGGCGTGGACTGGGTGAGAGCGAGATGCTTTGATGTCGGTGGTTTGGTGCGTGACGGACGGGTGCCGATGTAGTCGGTGCTCCTCGCGGATCGATCTCAGAGGGTGAGATGGATTGTTAATTATGAGAAGCTGGAGGAATCAAGAAGGGTGCCACACATTCTGAGAGAAGGCCCGGGGAGAAAAATAGCGGAGGGATGAAGAGAATAGGGAGATCGAGCTGAGGTGCAGAAGAACGATCGCAAAGGCGGAAGCGGAAGAAAGCGAGCGGAGCTGCGCGACGGGTACAACTCGCTCCCCGTACCGCTCTGGTCGCAACTCCGGAGTCCATACGAAGAACATTAACACGGTAGAAGAGGAGTTAGTGATTTCTAATCTACTAATTAAAAATTACTATGCTAAACCGACGGATCTATAAATCCTGGGTGCTGAAACACGGCGTTTCGAGGTATCAAAGCTTCAAACAATCACAAAAACATCGCAAATCTAGAGTCCTCCGGGTATCAAGCCAGCGATCCATACCATTACCATTACTTTTTTTCTCACTCCATGTTCCTTTTTTTTTTTTTCATCTCTTTCTGCTGCCAGCGTGACGGGAGACCATGATCATCTCATCTATTTGGCTTCGCCGGCAACCGGGGTTTCCTGAGCCGTGACAGCTGCCTCGGCCTTGGGCGGTTCCTCCTGCTTGGGCTCTTCCTTGGGAACCTCAGCCTCCTGAGCCGGGGCCTCGGCGGGGGCAGGGGCGGACTCCTCCAGCTTCACAGTCCGTGCAGATTCCTGCAGGGCAGGGCCGTTTCCGCCATAGGCCTTGGGAAGACTCTCCTTCACGGGCGCTTTGAACTCGCGGGCCAGGTTGGCGCCGTTGGAGATGGGGTGGAACTTGCGAGTGGTGTTCTTGCTCAGGAAGACCTTCATGGCCGCGAACATCCAACCCATGATGGTCGGCACGTTCACGAAGAACTTCTCCCGCAGCAGCTCGGGATACGCGGTGGTGAACACGTCAATAGTCTTCTTAGTGGCGGCACGGAGGTTGGGGTTCAGTCGCAAGAAGCTGAGGTTCAAGTAGTCGTGAACCTGGACCATCTGGTAGGGGTCCTCGCCATCGTAGTCCAACACCGACGTAGCCTGGGCCAGCTTGAGCTCCTGGACGGCCAGCTCCATCAGCGCAACACGCCACTTGACGAACCTAGACACAGTTAGTTCAATCTGCTTTATTGCTCATACACAGGGGACGGGAATAACGACAACTTACTCATCCATATCCCCGAAGGTGTCATCGATGCTCTTGACAGCACCATAAATGTTCCAAGTCACGACCAACTCCTTGCCATCCGCCTCCTGATACGTCGTCAGGTATCCCAACCCACCGAACTTGCTAGCATTGAAACGGCCCGATTCCACCAACTCAGATGGGTTCATCTGCTTGCGCCACTGCAGCGCCTTGGTCAGCTGCTCCTCCGCCAGCTTCGCATTGCCCTCGTTAGCCCGCAGGAACTTTATCAGCACGTTCACCGTGGGAGCGTCAGTGGAATCATTCTTGAGCGGGACACCCCACATCTCCTCATGGCCAGAGCTGGACAGGATGGAAGGGAGACGGTCGAAGAACTGGCTCAGGGCAGGGTTATTTGCAAGGTATTCGGGCTTCTCATCGGCGACGGGCTTGTCATCCTTGGTCTGCTCTTCCGGCGCAGCAGCGGCCGCAGCGGGCTCCGTGGCCTCGGGAGCAGCTTCGGGGGCAGCCTCGGCGGCAGGAGCGGTGGTCGAGGGTTGCTCCGTGGGAACGGCCTCCTTCTGCTCGGGCTGAGCCTCTGGAACGGGTGCGGGAGCAGCCGTGGTCTCGGTGGTCGGTTCAACGGCCTTGTTCTCAACGGCTTCGGGGGCGGGAGGCGCGGTTTTGTCTTGTTGCTCGGACATGGCGAAGAGAGATGGAGATGAAGGAAGTAAAGAGAATAGATTGATTGATTGAGTTGGGGGGTTCCAAGAAATGAACCGTGACAGAATAAACAAGGGAGAGGGAATAAGAAGACGATGGACGGGAGGAAAAAGAGAGAAGAACAGAGAGAAAGGAGGAAGACAAAGGAGGGAAGATCACATGGAGCGCAGTCACGAGGGGGGGACTATCTTAAATAATTCATCATGAAAATATTCGCATTAATTTAACAATTTGGCCCTTGCAAATTAGATTATTTTTAGCGTCTGTAGTCTAGAACGGCGTCCTCGATGATAATAATTATCATTATTAATCCGCTAATTAGCCTGCAAATGAAATCCACTGGATGCCTCACATTCTTGCCCAAAAAACCCTCCAAGACAAAAGGATAAAAGGGTCCATCGCCGGTCCTCCAATCCTCCGTCAGGGTCAGGGATGGCACTCTACGTGTCCATTACACAAGTCAAGGTTCAACCACCGATCAGATTCAAATAGTCCTGGCTGCGAAAATCAAATCAAATCAAATCAAAATCGAACCTCCTCCCCCGTTTCTATTTCGGTCTCTCCAGTAACGGGATTAATCTACACGCTGCATGTTTCATACTCCCCCGTTATCCTTACCTGTCTCTCCTCTCTGCTCTGCAAGCCTAGACTCGCTCATGCAGAGCTAATGTCGTTGTCCGGTGGAGTTGCTATGCTGGAGCCTTGGACGGCCTCGAGCCCCTCACCCCTGACCATGACTGTCCAACTCTGGGTAACTATTTAATTGCTGTTAAACATGGAGGAAATTTCCCATAATGAAGTAAACAGAGTCTCTTGCAGATAGACAGCGCCTGGCGGCATTGCTCAGGGCAACCAATCCTGCTCAAGTTTAGCTGCTGGTGAGAGTAACACTCAAAATAAAACAATGAAAAAATAGTAAAAACATTTCAAAGCGGTATGAAATATGATATCAGGATGACATGAAGAAAGAAAAGATATAATAAAAACATAATACTAAAGGAGGGCGAAAATATCAAACAACATAACCATGCCTCTCGCGCTCTCCCTCCCTTATTCTTTCTTCTCTTGCTCTTTCTTATAACCGTCAATTATGAAACAATTTCGGATGCAATGATCGCTGGGGAATATACAGAAAATGCAAGAATTTACAAATCAACGCAATGTGCTAGACGTGTCTCTACTTCGTCCCGTTCAAGAACTTTCCGGGAATCTGAGGCACTGGAGGAACCGGGGGCACCTGAGTGTCTTTTTGCTCGTCTTCGTCCTCGTCCATTTCGTCCAAGTTCTCGGGATGCCTAAAGCCAACGTTAGGTTAGGTTGCATTGAAGAAGGATAGGCAACATGAAAAAGGAGGGGAGGGGAGGGGGGAGGGGGAGTATAAATAGAATAGGGGAAGGGGTGACAGAAAAAAGCCGTCCACGTACGCTAAAAGTTCCTTGATGTTCCTCATTTCGTAGTGTCGTTTCCGCTGCTTCTCGAATTCACGGTGCTTCGCCTGAGCTTCCTCGGGGGTGACCATGGCATCCTCGCCCGAAGCGGTCTCCCCGTTCTCCTGTCCGCCACCCATCACCACATGCTTGTCGCTCCGGTGCGACTCGTTGCTCAGACTGCGGCCGCGCACGATCCGGTCATTCCCCCCGGTATGCGCACCGCCCACGAGAGACTCCTCAGGGTCTCCTAGTTCTAGCTCTGGGATCTCGTCCTCCGCGACGGCCCTCTTAAGTCCCTTCGTCGACTCGTCCAACTCGTCCACCACCACATCCTGGGCGTCGATCAGTTTCTCCTCCGCATCCGCAAGCTCCATCTCATCCTCGTCCTCGGCCGGGTCGTAGTGCGGAGCGTAGGGCGTCTTGGGCTCGTCGATCTTCATCTTGGCGGTCTTCTCCTGCTCGGTGAGGTAGAGGTTCGCCTCGTCCCATTTCAGTCGCGGGGAGTTTTCATCGTCCTTGATGCTAGCGAGGGACTGGCGGCGAGAGGAGTTGCCCGGACGAGTGGACGACGACCGACGACGACCGGCATTCTGGAGGGTGTTTTGGAGCGTGAGCTCCTTGTTGTCCGCGGTTTCAATAGCCGGGGTTGGCGGGGCGAGGGTTTCACTGGCGTGCGACACTTGCAGAACGCTGTGCGAGCTGGAGTTCTTAAGGATGCCTGTGGTTTTGGGAAGTCTGTTAGTCTCACAGCCTATCCGAGAAGACGTTGGGTACCAACCTTTAGGCCGCTTGTGCATCTCGTCCATATTCTGTGCCATCGTCATAACAGGAATGCGACGGGTTCGGAGAAGCCTGTCGCGCGGTCGGTCGGGGTAGTAAAGGGAGTACAGATGGGGTTCTCTTCTCGACAAAAGTGAAGAGGTGGGAAATCTATTGGTAGAGACTGGGAAGGTGTAGTTGGAATGGAGTCCTTGACCCAGTTGAGTTGTATTTAAATCAGAAATCACCGGCACCGAGAAGAATAATTGAAATCAAGATAGAATAATGATAAACTGCAGGTGGGTTTTTTTTCTTTGGCGGGGGGGTCTCAGCCGCTTAAGTGGTCAGCCAATAAATGCGGTGGGACGATCGGGGCACTGCGTCTTCTTAGCAGATCGGCTGATGAAAATGCGCAAAGCAGATGAATAAGACGATGTACGAGTAAGCCACCGAAGGAGCCAGCTGAGGATGGAACTGAAGTCGCGGTCTGAGTGTTGGAAGGGGAATGAAGGGAAAGTCAAGAGAGTCGGGACAACGTCACGTTGTGGTTTCACCTGAAGGGGCACGTGGGGCAGCGATGACGTCGATTGACACCCCTCTGTCAGGCATCCCATCAGGCATGACCGTTGCGGAATGATGATGCGACTACTAACTATAGGCAAGAATGTGTACCCGGTGGAGCGTGCTTCATGTCAAAAAAATATGCTTGGATTCGATGCTATCACGCAATGTAATGCAATGCAATACCGTGTATGAAATTGTATACCCAAACCCGAACAGATGTCCGCCGGTCCTAGTCTCTACAGTCCAGCCCATGGCAGTGGTACTCCAGAATCTCAGCCCCAGACATTGGGGTTGAAAAGAAGAGAGAGAAAAAAAAAAAGAAGCAGATAAGCAGAATGCCACCCTCGAATGTACGTGTATAGGGGAATATTGTCCAAATCAGAGAAGAAGATGTAGAAGAAGAATAAGAAGAAGGGGGGGGAATCAAAGAGAGAGGAAGAAGATAAGACAGAAAGAATATAAATGTAATAAAAAGGGAGGGGAAAGAAAGAAAAGAAGCGAAACATGTCAGTTTTCCATGCTCTCACGCGAGCGGGAAACAAATACAACTGTAAAATAAGACTTGTCCTATCATGAGAAATGACAACACTGCAGTTCATTGCAGTTGACATTTGCACAGGGGATTAGTCCGATTAAATAGGCCAAGATATGGAAAAAAAAAATCAGCATGAAGCAGGTCGTAAATGGTATCAAGTCGTCAAAAGATGCAAGTCACAAGCAAGCAAAAGAAAAAAGGAGAAGAAGGCGAAGAAGAAAAATCAGCGTACAAAACAATGAGGGTCTGGAATATAACAATCAGAGGTCCAAGCAAAAATTTAGGCGATGGAATCAAATTCCTCTCGTTCGCGAAGTCGGTTCCGCGCAAGTTCATCACCTCCGTTTGCCGACAGCTGCATCCAGTGCAGCGCCAGGCACAAACTTTGCGGATCCGACTTGGAATCCTTGTCGCGACGGTACATCATCTCGGCCTTGAATGTATCCCGAAGCAACGTGAGTGGGAGCGTGACACGTGGCAGAAGCTCTGGGTGGGTGAGGTAAAGAATCGCCAGCTCCCGCTGTGCAATGGGATTGCCTTCTTTAGCGGTGATGATCCACATCCCCGCGGCGTCTTCGATCCCATGGCCAGGTCGGGGGTTCATGTCATGTCCGTGAGGGGGGTGGCGGCGACTAAGCTCCTGAGACACGATGTTATCCGCAATTTCAACCATACTATTGCAGATCTCGTCCTTCAAACTCAACGCAGCCAGTCCAAATTGCAGAAAGGCGGTCCCGCTATCGGTTTTGTTGAGCGTATCCCCTGGAACAAATGCCGATATGAACTGCAGATCCCGGAAGAGGGTTTTTGGTTTCACCTCGAGGAGCAAGTCCCGCAGGGCATCCACTATCTGCTTCTCCGTTGGAGCCGAGTAGTCGGAGGGCCGAGAACCGAAAACAATCGACTCAGCGGCCGGGGAGGTGGGGGTGTGCAGAGTGTCTTTTTCGACACGCCCTCGAACTCCAAGCTGCGAGCAGCTATGACGAGTGAGTCTCGCCCCGTGACCAAAGGCCCTGCTCCCCCGCTGGCGACTGGGCTCTTGGGTCAAAGGTGAGGGGTTGTCATCGTGGCTAGAGTTCAGCGATGCGATGACTAGTACCCGCAAATCACGGATTGCTTTCAATTTGACAAATGGATTGCCGTGGCGAGAAAAGACCTCGATCAGTCGACGGAAGACCATATTGTACGAGAACGGGGATTGATCTTCGCCGTCGAGCCCAGCGGTTTCCCCGGGGTATGGAGATGGGGCATCCTCGCATCGCCCCTGATCAGACGGCCCGACTGATTTGCTTCTACGGCCGTTTGACGGTGTACGGTGGATAGTTTGGCGGAGCAGCCGCTCGTCACAGTCCGTGTAAAACCGGTTGATCTGGGTGCGCTTTATCATCTGAGCTCGGATTCTCTTTTGATCCAAAGCATTGCCAAACCAGGCGTCAGTTTCGGTACCACAACTCCAGACCGGGGAGCCCAGATCGCTCAACAGTAAACTTGTCAGAGTCTGTCGCAGCTCGTCGAGAAAAGCGGTTTTCCCGTTTGATTTACGCTCATTCCGACGAGGCTGCTGGCCTATGGTGTCACTCAGCATGGAGGGAGGGCGGGAATACATGCTAGATGTGCTCGGAGCATAATTTGTCGGCTTGTGCGGTGCCGACCAAAAGGTGCTGCAGGAATCACCGGTGGAAATGGAGGCTGCACGAGTGGGCGAACCTCCCATGGAAGAAACATCCGCGATTGAGGGCTCTCGCGGAGTTCTCCACTTGTCAGACATCATGCTTTGGAAGGAAGTCTTGTGGTTCAGCGAAGGAATGTCCTGTGAGGATCTGGAGACGGAATCCGAAGGACGAAGTGTGCTGCCGTATGTCTGGTAGGAATGTCCAGAGTCTTCATTAGCAGCGCTGAAAGGCCGCAATCCGGAAGACAGACCCAGGAAGCTGCGATTGCTGGATCCCTCATATTTGGCTCTCTCTTTGTGGAATAACTCGCTCGCCCAGAGCACCGGAGTTTCGGCCATGGTCTCCCCGACGAGGCGGCTGATACTCGACTTCATTTCGTAGCAGAATCGGTGAATGCGCTCCTCACCTCTGCAGAAGTTATCAATGTTATTGTGTGACAACCATTTTCGGATCAGGTCGACTTGTTCGTCGGAGAGCTTGTTCGGACCGGCCTGGCTACTTGGAGCCTTCATTACGTTCATGACCTGCAACTCCGGCTTCTGCAAGAGAGAGCCTCCCAGAGATCTTCCGCTGCCGCGCGATCGGCCCTCATTTGAGGTCTGCTTGGGGAGGTGGGACGAATAGATCATAGTCTTCAACGCGAGAGCGACATGTTTTGCGTCCTCGTATCGCAGGGAGTTCCGTACGTCAGTAATGTACCACATCTTGTCCCGTAATTTCGTCACGGTGGTCATTGCCTCTTTCATGGTTCGCTGCAGCCGCTGCATATGACGATCAAGAGCGACGAAGTCACTTTCGCAGCGATCGATCACTGACCGGGATGCCTGGAGGGAGCGAATGCTGGAGGTATACATTGGGCCTAAAATCCAGGAGTCATTGGCCTGGCGAGAAGGGATGTTGGCGACACTGCGAACAAGTTGACGGGCAGCATTCCACCAATAGTGGGCTCCGATGAAATCGGAATCATGATGACAGGAGGCCATGGCCTGGTTGAACCTTTGCTTCAGGGAAAGGCCTCCGGTATGATGGGGATCGTAGGACTGCAATCCGATCTCACTGCGGTCACTTGCAGGATTTTCCTGGATCAGTTTCACAATAGCAGTTTGCAGAGCTTCGAAGTTATCCTCCATTCCCAAGGTGGTGGATTGGACATCATCCACAGAGGTCTCTGCGCTCGATTGGCCATCGGAAAATAGACCCCAGATAAGCCGTTTACCCTCTTGTGCGATTGAGAAAACAGCCCAGTCTTCTGCCGATGGAGGCTCCAAATTTGCACGACCGTCGGCGTCGCCAAGATCAGACAGCTCGAAGCGAATCCGATCGGCATCGCGCCTGAGACAGTTCTCGGGTAGAGACAGGAAATCCATTTCCGGTGGGAAAGGCGGCCTGCCGGTGGAGTACTGTCCCATGTTGCTGTCAATGACAGGCCGGAAAAATCCGGGCTCAATCAATGGTGTCAGTGGTTTGTCTCGCGGGGACAATGGAGACGCAAAAGACGCCGAGGAAACGCCAGACGATGGGGTAGAAACATTGTATATGGACGGCGCTGGTCTAGGGAACAGTGAATCTAGCAGGCCGATAATGTCGGAGGAGGAGAGCATTAGAAAAACTGCGGGCGAATCTTCGCTCTCCGCGGAACCGGCGTATGAAGGCTGCTGGTGAGACATGGGTTGATCAGACGGCATATGAGCAAATCGATTGAGCATGCGCTCAACATGCTGTCTAACAGTAGGACGGGTCATCGAAAAGTGGCGCCTAGTATAGTAAGAGCGTTGTGCTCATGTTAGCGAGCTCGTTGGCTTTCGGGGAATTGGGGAGGGAAGTTCCCAAGAGAATAGAATGTAGAGTATACGCACATTGACCGAAGAATGGCAAATACTTGAGAATAAGCCTGGAGTCCGACCTGTCCAAGTAATTTTTCTCGGGCATCCTTTCTGATAAAAAAGTCAAGCAAAAGTCCATGTGCCTAGAACCACTGGTTAGAACCGGAGACTCACAAATACCGGTATCAAGGTTTCAAGTGACATACCTCAGGATAGGTTAGTGCGCCGTATAGGAACTTGGAGAAAAACCACTGGACAAGTAAGAACTCGAGAAAACGATCACGGCTATCCTGGCGATCCAACTTCTGCAAGACGGCCTTGCTTAGTTCCATGACCGCGTGCGGGAGCCCTCCATCCGGGTCGTCCAGAAGTTGGAACAGGCCGTCAACAGCGGACGCAAAGAATTCCTCGGCCACATCAGTCTTTAACGGGTCGATAGGCTCCGCGTCAAAGCTCAGACCGGGTGGGGGCTCTACGTGTTCCAACAGGAAGGCGCCCGTTTGGAGGATGTCCATCAGGTACAGTTCAAATCTGGGTTTTGCTTTCCAATCACTGCCCATGGACCAGGCAGCCAGGATGTTGCCGATGAGCGGATAATACCTACTGCCGCCATCGGCGACAAGCTTGGCACAGACGGAAGACCATACATCCAGGCGCAAGCGGGCTTCGGGGGCATCCGAGTCCAGCGGGGCGGCGAAGACATTAAAAAGCAAAGTAGACAGTGCGTCGGTTCTCTCAAAGGCGAGAACGTGGTCTCTGAAAGAAATGGACGACGCAGGATTGCGCTTAGGGAATGAAGGGTTCCGGGACCGCGAGGCCGAAGGGAACGAGAGATCATTGGTTTCCCAAGATGAAGCCGAGGGTGAGACCAGAGCGCCCAGCTGACCGGGCGTCAAGCTGCACAAGCGCTCGAAGATGAACTGGGGATCTGTGCGGACCGACTGCAAGATCCCGACGAGATCGGCCCTGGACTGGGGACTCAGCTGCAGGAAAAAATCCGGGGCGCGGTCAGCGGCCGCCTCGGGAGTGGATGGCCAGTCTTCCAACGGGTCCTGCCGGTGGAAGTGGCGCCGGAATGCGGAATCACAAGATTCCTGAAGATCAGTCACGGTATGGTAGAGAGCAATGAAATTCGCCTTGTCGTCATGCTTGAGACGGTCGACCAGGCCGCGCTGGACGGCGGCTCCCACGCGAACCAAGCGTGCGGAGATGCCCATGGACACTTTGGTGGCATGAAGACGATGTTCCAGCCTCTTGCGGCGGGTTTGTTTATGCTGATTCTGGCGATAACGGACGGCCAAATCCTCAAAGGACACCTTGGGGGGATCCTCCGCGGTTGTGGGTGGCAGCGGTTGATCCACGGGACGTCCATCGTCGGAACAGTTGGGTGTTGCTATAAATCGCGAACTCGAGCGGTCCGAGTATCCAGACTCACCTGCGGTCTGGCCCCTGGGGATGGGGATGAACGACTCTGAAGACATGCTGACCGTCGCAGCAATTGGGTGAAATGCAGTATCACATGTTGAAGTAGCCTGCGTTGAGGGGTACAAGTCTAGTGCGCGCACGAAGCGACGAAGGGGGGAACGTCAGCCACGTAGATGAACATATTTAAACAGTCGATAAGAACATCAAAGGGAGTCGGGGAAAACGCGGCGTTTATAGATAGATTTCCATGGACGGCGCATGAAGATCATTCATACAGATCACATTTCAAGGCAAACAAGGAACCAAACGGAAGGGGATCTGGAGGGGCAGGAAGGAAAATGGGAACAGCTGAAAACAAAATAAAGAAAGAAATCAGAAAAAAAAAAGGTGTGGACATACTGGTCACATAAGCCAGGGTCGATGGAGGACCATCGGATTGGGCATCGAACATGATGTTGCCATGGGCAGTCTCCCGGCCGGCCAGCCAAGAAGACAGTGAAGGTTGCAAGATGCCCCTGGCGTTGGAAACCAACTCTCTATCGCATGGTTCAGCCCTCAAAGGCGGCACGGCAGACGAATAGCGGTCCTCATGGAGAGCGACGTCCTGTCGATGAGGATCAGGGTGAATGCCCGACGCGATCGACGGCTCCAGGATGAGCGATACGGGGATGGTGAGAAGAGGGAGGAGGGAGGGAGAGAGGGAGGCAGCAAGAGAAAAGGCGAGCAAGAGGGCACAAAAAAAAAAGGGTGGGGTCAAAATAATCCAAGGAGAGAGACTGAAGGAGGGCTAAAGGAGGGGGAGGGATCAAATAAAGAAAAAAATGCAAATGCAATAAAATCAATGGAACAACAAATAAATAAAAGGCAGAGGAAGAATCATCCAATACAGCAGGCGAATGGACGGCGGAAGGACGAGACTAAAACACTCCGTTGCAGGTGGAGAGGAGCGATTCCGATCTCCTTTCGTTTCCGAATGATAAGAGAGGAAGAACAACTGGCGGGAATTAAACCACCAGGGAATTTAATTTGCTAATAAGAATAAATCTAATAAGCGGATGACATGCAGCGGAGGATGAGGAGGAGTAAGAAGAGAGGGAGGAGCGAGGGAGTAAGAAAAGAGAGATGGACTAGTGTGGATTTGGATGCCGTTAGTCGCAGCGGATGCCAACAAATCGACGGGGGGACGTGAGTAGGAGAAGGGAAAGCGCGACAGAGAGAGAGAAAGAGGAAGGAAGGAAGGAAGGAAGGAAGGAAGGAAGGAAGGAAAGACGTGAGGACTCTTTCTTGTTCCACCCTAAGAAATCCCCCGTTGGTTGGTTGGCGCAAAACACGTTATTGAACGACGTTCCCGACGAGGTACCGACCAGGTCAACGACGGAGGTGCGCCAGGGCCAGTCTGGACCCTCCAGTGACTTGGGAGGCCTGGCGGTGACTCGAACCGGACGCGTGCATTGGATTTGGATTTGGATGGGCGATTTTGAATTTGTCGATGTGACACCTTACGGAGTACGGAGGAGGGAGATCTACCTAGGGAATATACCGACGTATGTAGGAAATAGCCCAGTATACATACATAACACATGTGTGTGTGAGTACTCCGGAGGTACATACATACTTACGGTGTAGAACTGCATAACTGGACAGAGGAACAAACAATAAGTAGGTGTATAGATAGATATGTGAATCATCCCCCTCTCCCCTCCTCTTCCCCCCACCACCAATACTACACCATCATCAAAGAATGTATCAGGATGTTGATAACTGAACGGGTCATTCTTCCCTAGCGTTCGCCTGCAGATCGTCCTCATGCCACGAAAGCGTCGAATGATTTGGACTTGTACAGCGCACTGGTGACCTGCGGAGGAGGTACCCCCCGCAGAGCAGACGGCACGCAGTGGTACCTCGAGTCAAGGTACCGAGTGGCAGCGGCGGGCAACGATGAGCTGGCACTGCATGCAGGGCCCCTCCGGCGGCCCATCATTTGCTGGCAGACCCCCCTCCCCGTCGTGAAGGAGGGAGGCCGCTTGGCTGCGTTTCTGTCCCTGGAAGGTGCGATGGCCGACGGTCCTTCCGAAATGTAGATTTTCCTTTAATCGCCGGAAACTCTGTATTCTGTATTCTTCATTATTTATTATGGAGGAATCATCATCCTCTAGAAAAATAAATAAGTAAATAATAATAAATCCATCCAAACAAGTAGACCCACTGGCACGTGTTCCTCTGCCACTGACCAGCACGTCCCGGTCTAAACCACTTCGGGCGTAGAGCCATCGTTCCTCAGCTGAAGTGGAACACCAGAACCAGAACCAGAAGAAGAACAAGAACCGGATGAAGGCAGGACCCTCAACATCATCATGATAGTAAAACCAAAATGACAACAGATCTCCCGCATCTCCCCGACTTGTTGCGTCTGGTCTCTTGCAGTCATCCAGGCAAAGAGTCATGGGAATCTGCCGCTCCAAACCCCAGATCGGTTTGTCTGCTGTACGGAGTATGCAGGTTTCATGCCGTTCATGCCATGGCTCATTTGATGTCGCCCCTTTCATTTCAATCTGTTTCTTCTACTGGGATTGAGTACTCTAGATTATTTATTTATTTATTATTAATTTTTTTTAGATAAAAAAAAAAAAAAAAAAAAAAAAAAAAAACCCCCGTTCGGTCGTTTCGCTGCGTTGGACATATCGGCACATCATACAGCCTTCCGGAGTACGGATTAGTCCGGTGGAAGGCTGCAGTCAACGACACTATTCTGATTTCATGCAGTCTAAGTGCGTCACCCGCTAGAGAATCTGCTAACAGCCGGTCGTCATCATGGGGACCATGCAGTGGCTTATAAATATAGCAAACATCAGGAATCAATACAGAAGATGGAAGTAAAATGAGGGGGAGCGACAGTCAGGATCAGGAGGAAAAGAGAGAAAAGTAAAAGAATGAATGAAAAAGAGAAGGGGGAAAATAGTAAATAAATGATTTTGAAGCTTCCTGTGCTGGCATAGAAATAAATCGCTCGCAAGATCTGGAATCGTTTAACCCCTTCAACGCCGTAAAACTCCTATCAATTCCGGTGATGCGCTGTGACGATGTTTCATCGCGATGGGTAAGTCCGGTCTATTTGCAGACCCATTTCTTGTCAGCCTCCTTCTGTCCCACCCGAGTAGCCACGCTGGTCAACGTGTCCTTCAGCGCGTCTTTGGAAACTTTCGGGAAGCTAGTCGTCATTCGTTAGCAACGTTGTCCACTCCCCGCCTTTCAGCTGTCGTCAGAACTCACCGTTTTTTCAGAATTTCTACCAACCCCAGCTTCGAGAGATCGCTGCCATTGACCACCTGCTTGAACTCCTCCAGTTGTTCCGCCGGAAGTCCCTTCTTGGCCTTGACCGGTGTCGTGGTGGCCAATGCTGCTCCCTCCTGCGTGGGCGCACTGGTGGGTACATGCCACTTGAGAGTGTGTAGCGTCGACTGTCCCGCTGCACCTGTTGGCGCGGGATCGGCGGCCTTGGGTTTGTGCCAGTAGGCTGTGGAGAACGGGTCAATCGGGAAAGCCACAGTGTCCGATATCGTCTCCATCTTGTACACTTGCAGCGAGGGGTCCACGCCATGTTCCTGCCACTGGATTCCCGTGCAGACCGGTTCTAGATCTCCCACGATGAGCCGTCTCTTGCCATCTACGGGGTGATCGTCGTCATCATCGAGGAATCCCTCCATGTCGTCGTCTCCGTCCTCACTTCCCTCCTCTTCCTCCTCCGAGTCCAATTCCTCTCCCTCCTCCGGCTCCTCCCACTCCGCTTCGGAATCGTAGTCATAGTTGGTCTCGGGCAGACCCCGATGGTACGGGTTCCTCATCAACTTTCGTGCGGCGGACCCGGGCACAGACTTGGTGTAGGTTCCCTGGTACGGCGGTCGAACGTCTTCGCCAAATTTCAACGACTTCATCCTGACTTGTCGCAGGAAACTTCGCGGTTTCTCGACTGATTCCGAGGTACCAGACTCTTCGTTTCGATTCTGCATTTGCGAGTGAATATCCCGTACCGACGCGGGCAGTCGTCCAAACCGTCGCCTGTACGGCATCATCTGAAAGAGCTCCGATGGGCGGAACGCCAGAGGATCTTTCGAGCCCTCGGCAGGGAGTTTCAAGAAGCCGTCAACCTTATTTCTCATCAATCCGAGCGCCTGGGGGTCCCGTTCGAACCTATGCGGAGGCGCAACCGTCGTATGGGATTGCAGGAAGAAGTCGGGGAATACTCGTTTGTAGTCATTGACCACCGTTTCGGCGGCCTGGGCGGAATCGAGTGAATGGCTATTCCCGGCGGACTTCTTAGGTGACCCTGCGGGAATGGACGTAGCATTGTGCGTATGACTCGGTTTCGCAAAGAAAGCATTAAGCTTTGGTTGCGCCTAGACAGCATGTCAGCATCCAACGTAACCCTCCTGGCTCTCCGTCCTGCGATTATAGCTTCGTCGTAGAACAACATAATATCAAAAAAGAAAGCAAAGGGAAAGAGGGAGGGAGTAAGGGAAGAACATACCCTTTCCTTTTTCAACTTCTCCTCTTCCTTCTTCCGTTTCTCCTCCTCCTTAGCCGCTTCTTTCTTCCGCTTCTCTTCCTCCTTCACGGCCTTCTCTTCCTCCTTGGTCTTCCGCTTCTCTTCCTTTCGTTTCCGCTCCTCCTCGCGCTCCGCATCTCGCTTCTTCTTCTCCTCTTCCTTCACTCGCTTCTCTTCCTCTCGTTTCGCCTTCTCTTCTTGCTTTTGGCGCTCCTTCGCTTCCTTTTCCTGTTGCTTGGTCTCTTTCTCCTGCTGTTTGGTCTCTTTACTCCCCGGCGACAACTTCCGCTTCTTAGCCGCTGGCGTCCCAGACAAGTCGCCCGTCGCGTCCGACTGCTTAGCCTCCTCGGTGTTTGTTACTAATACTGATACTGTTGATGTCGATGTCGAGGTCGCCGCCGTCGCCGTCATTGCATTTGCAGACTCCACATCCCCCGCAGTGGTCAAAGGGGCCGTGTTCTCCTGATTCTCGGTATCGTGGGGGTTCGAAGGCGTCATTTTCTCGTCTGGATTACTCGATCGAGAATCATCCATGTCTTGGACGGATCGTTTGCGAATACTTAGGGGCGAGGCGGAGGAAGGAGCAGGAATAGAAGTAGATATGTGGTGTGGCGATTGAGATTGCTGCTGCGGTGTCGGAGGAGGAGGAAGGGGTGAGAGATTTGAATTGGCGTCGACCGATACTTCCATTGCTGGTGAGAATCTTACGTGTCAATGTATTGTGTATATGTATAAAGTAAAATCCCACAGAAAAACAAATTATCTCAAGACATGTGAACTATGAGAATTGGGGAACGGTATGGGGACTGTTTTGCCAGTCCCTGGAGAAGAGAGTGTGTGGTGGCCCGGGAGTTGTCATTTGATGCTGGCCAAGTGGTTGGAACGCGTTAATTGGATTTGCCGTCGCGATTTCCCGTCGCGTTGGCGGGCACGTGGTGATTATGTAAGAGGGCCCTTGACTCGGGAGTCGGGAGGCTGCCGTGAGGGTTGGTCCGGTTCCTGGTGAGACGCATACGGGCAGATACTCGAAATAGACAAAGCAAAACAAATAGAGCTGATTTGTAAATAATCTCTAAATAGAGGCTCAGGTTGAGTCAGTGGAATAAAGGAGGCTGTTCTGTTCAATTGGGATGATCTACACTCCACGGTATCGGCCCAATGCCTGTCCGGTGGGATAACTACGCCAATCTCCTGTTCCAATGGTGATATGTACACTTCAGATTAGTATTACTAGCTGTTCATAAATCCATTAAATAACACAACACCAAGAACAGTGCATGCAAACACAGGTGATACATAACCCAATGCATCATCAGAAGCACAAGCGCCAATAACATGCTGTGGGGGGAATAAGATGAGTAAGCACAATGCAGTCGGGCATTCAATGCACCAACAGGCCAGGATCCAGATGTCCAGTTCGAAGGACTGGCTGAATAAAGACCAACATTGAGAGAAAAAGAAACACAAAAAGGGTGTGGATGGAAGTGGGAAAGCCACACATGGGCAGCGAGGGTAGTAGAAATGAAAAAAAAAAAAAAAAAAAAAAAAAAAAAGACAGAAAAACACAAAAACACGAGAAAACAGAAATGAAGACTCCTCATCTACATGAACAAGTCGACCTGGGTATTCTGATCCGTTGTTCAAAAAAATTCCAATCAACGACAATGGTGTATAATGCAAGATATGCATAGCGAGCACTCTAATCACTCAAATCCGGGTTCGCGACGAAGAGACGGACGTTGGTCATCGATGTCGTTCGGTCGTCCACACTGCCGCGGCGTCTCAGCTCGTCCGCCTTCTTGGCTTTTTCGGCGGCGGTGGTGACTGCACTGGGCGCGGCCATGTCGCCGACGCTGCCAAAATTGTCCTCCTGTTCGCTGCTGCGACTGTGGGTGGTAGCGGCGTCGTCCTTGAGGGAAGCGACATCCTTCTCTTCCTCCCGACGCTCCGCAGGAGGGTGTTCCGACACCCCCGGGAGATCGGACTTTTCGCCGGGCGGGGTGACGTTGCTTCCCATGGTGCCCTGGGGCGTGCGCTGGTAGCCGCTGGGATAACGGTGGGCGCTGCCCACGGAGCTGCGACCGCTACCGGTGCGACGGTACGGGAATCCGTTGTCACTGCGAGACTCTTCGTCGGCATCGCCCACCTCGTTGGCACTGAGCCGCAAGGGAACGGTGGCGCCGACCAGCGTCGACGCGGAGAAATCCATGGTTCCTTTGGTGCTGTGCTTGTTTTTGTTGCTGGCGAGCGTGCCACTCCGCCCGGCGCCCGCGCCGTGGACCTCGAGGTACGCTCTCTTCTTATCGACCAGCTTCTGCGCTCGAATCCGGGGATCCTCGGGCTGCGCCCGATCACACCAGACCGTGGCTTTCTGCCTTCGCATCAAGGCTACGTATCCCAGCTGGGCGTTGGCCGACCGGGAGGAAGTGCTCCTACGAATGTCCGAGGCTGCCGCACCGGTAGCGTTGCCAGTAGAGTTTGTGGAGGTGGTCGCACTGGAAAGGCGTCTCGCAGGGATGTAATTGGGAGGAGTGGTCATGGTGTGATGAGGCGAGGGGCCGCCAGAATAAGGTTGCTGGTGCTGCTGGTGACCGACGTACGGCAGCACGTGGGAGGATGAGGTCCGACTGCGACTGTGAGCGAGGGAGGCGGCCGACGGGTGGGGAGCGAGTTGGTGGTGGTGGTGTCCGTCGTAGGACTGAAACGAATGGCTCGAACGCACTCCTGGGACTGGCTTCCGCGCGGGTGGGGGCTGGTGAACTCGATAATCGGTCATGCTGGGCTGCTGCAACTGTACGCCAGCCATGTAGAATTTGGATCCAACGAGGTCGTCAGTTCGAGAAGAGGGGATGAGCTAGGGAGGGAGAGAGATTGATTCCACGACAACACCGAGTGTCCCGAGGGTTGGTGGTAAAACAGTTCGTGTAGCGATAAGCCGAGTCGGCCCCCTCTTTTGAATGGGATGGGATGGGATGATGTGGTTAAATGGAACATTCAACACACCCGGCCCTCGTCATACGGTGCAAACAACACCGGAATGGAATGAAACAAGGAACAAAAAGACCCCCAGCCAAATCAGAGTAGAGCAAACCAAGTTCGGCGCGCGATAAAGAATCAGAAGGACTCGAATCTGCACACAGACGGCAGGGATGAAGTAGAAGTGTTGAGTGTCGGATCGAGCGACCTGGAAGGCGATTCGCAGACCGCAAGCGCCCAGGGGGTGGAAGGGGAAGAGCGAAAGAACGAGAAAATGAGGTTGTAGCGGCAATGGCGGACACACGAGGCCGGGCAGCGGGTACCCAAATTGACCAAGTCACGCCTGCAGGAGAGCGAGGAGGTGAGGAGGAGGAATTAGCGGAGGGACAAGTCTCTCAGTCCGGCGTGTCCGAGTGACTGGAGGAGGGATAAAGAAGAGGAGAGAGAGCGAGATTATTGTTTATAACGAGGGCAGCGCCAGGGAAAAAAAAGAGGGGAAGAAAGAACCAAAAGAACCGGTGGCTCCAACGGAGTCGATTCCTTTCGCCCTTTCGACGGTACCGAATACGGGTATTGACGGTACGAGGGGTGCACCGCCACGGTCACTCGAGGTAAGTCCTCCGGGTTACGCTGAAACATACCGGGATGGAGTCATGCTGCGCCACTTACCCATGTGGGTGGCCCGTATCCAATACGAATTACGGTACCGGTATTGTACTCGGAGTCAAGCCACCCCCCGCAAGGTCACCACGGCCACCAAGGCCACCGGACGGTACCTTCCCTTGTGTGGTAAACCGCTAGGAACAGGAGGTACCGGTACCGGTCATAAATCTCTTTTCCCGATCGCAAAGTCGCAACATCCACAACTCATGACGTCGATGGACTCCACCTGATGAAACATTCGGATGAGACGGGAATGGACCGCTTGTGCAATCATGACATCTGCTCCTGATCATCATTTCCTCCTGGTGAGTTCAGACAAACAAAGAGCTTTTAGCTCGGGCCTCCATGGAGTACGAGAGACAGCTCCTCCCTGTCGTAAGCTCTGCGTATGTGTACTCCTTACACGGAGTAAGCGGATCAGCTCGCTAGTCGCAACTCCCCAGGACCATTATTGACAGATACTAGTCAGTGACCTGACTAGTGCCTGGCCGATCACCTTGATTTCGACCGTGATTATCTACTATCGACGGATGCTAACGTTATTCATCGCCTGGCATTGGCAGAAGCAACGGGTAAGGCCCCCCGTGGCCTTCCAGCGCCGCCGTGGCATTGCTGGGACCCGGGAGGTTGCAGTCAGAGACCCAGGTACCGATGTACTACTCCCTACAATGCGACCTCGAGGTCACCCACCGAAGCTGAACAGCATAAAGAAGGATCCAGTGAGCAATGTCGTTTAATGCTGATTCCCCACTTCGGCTTCAACTAAAACGCTTGCCGGCCAATGGCGTACAGCCAGGGCCTCCGGATCAGCCAGCCACGCTGCTAGCCTGCTAGAGCCTTACGGACTCGTGGTCGACGGAGGACTAGCAGTCTTAACTCGCAAGTGCACTAGCACGAAGGATGATGGTTCATGAATACCGGTGGTCTGTTCCCTCCGCAGGATATCGTAAGTTATAGCCAACTACTAGTTAGTAGTACCGGGACTCAGGAGAGCGCCCGGCCACCCGACAACGAACAATTCAGCATCGGGCCATCGGCATTAATTATGGTTACATTGACCGTTGGGTGCTCTGTGCCTGCCATGGCCCAACCTTGCCCCTCCGTCCAACTTTTTCTACGTGTATATATAGATAGTGAGTGGTCCTGGCCTGGCAAAACCTGCTTTTCGCCCCCATTGCATGGATAGGACCCAATCTCAATTTTTTTGGCCCTCTGATTCTTCTGCGCTTTCTCCTGGGCGGTAGTCACGGCTCGTGGGGACTCGACCTACATAAGTACCGTAATTGCTAGTCCCTTCGTACTGTATGGCTCTAAGAGGTCGAGGGACCTCAAAATACTTGTGTCGCCCTACAACTCCGTATGATGTTCTCCGTACCGACAAAGTATCTCCCGGCCAGACGGACGGGGATTGGTTGCCCCGACCCACTTTGGCTGACACATCTGTGGATTGATCCATCGCCGACGGGAAGCTTCAGTTCTCTTCTGCCAGGAAGACATACAGAGTGAAGTCGTTAAAGTACGAGGAACTGAAGTAGTGTCCACCCAGCATGCCGGTCAGCGCAGACCCCTCTTAGATCTCGAGTCGCTTATCATCAATCATGCACCATGAGCAAACGTTCCTACGGAGAGTCATTGTCCCAAGGTGGCTCTCAGCCGCCAGAGCATATCGATAACAATCATATGCTGCCCATCAACGACCTCTTGTCCCCCGATCACGACCAGCAATCGGGCTCATCATCGAAGAAGCCCCGTAATTTTATAGCCACTGTGGTATGTCTCTGAAAGAGATCAAAAGTGCCCTGTACCTACGGCTGGCTAATGTTATGGATAGGCTTGTGAAACCTGTCGCCTCAAAAAGACCCGATGCGACGAATCCAGACCAAAATGTGGTCTGTGCAAAGCTCTTGGGCTGGAATGTGTCTACAATGAGCGCAAATCCTCCAAGTATGAAATCACGCTTTCTATCTACCCTCTTCCCATCCCGGTGCGCCAGGCTAACCCGCCGATGCAGACGAGATCATTCACTGAGCTTGATTATGAGTACTCTCCATCGACTGGAGACCAAACTTGAAAGCCTCCCGTTGGCAATAAGCCATGACCTCCAGTCCCTCCAGGGACAGATGTTCCGCGCCCTTGAGGATCCTGCGGAGGTACCAACCCCGGGACGTGGCAACCCAGCGGTCAACAAGCAAGCGTCGCTGGTGCATCCTGCTTCGCAGGACCCCACTCCGGATGCTGGAGAGCCCGACGACTTTGAATTCGATAAGCGTGCAAATGCGACCAATCCGACAGGCCAGGTTTCGATCTCTTTTAGTCAACACGGAGTCATCTTATGGCCAGGAGCCCGAGAGATCCTGCCGACGAGACTTCTCGAGGCCCATGAACGGTTCGGGAAAAACTATGTGATCGATACGGAAATGAAGAGGCCCCAGCTCCCCATGTACATCTCCCCGTTTCCACCACAGGCCGGGAATGACTGGCTGGAGGCGCTTCCCCTTGCCATGGTCAAGGGTCTTTCCGATGCTTTTTTCTCAACCTTTAACCCTTTCACCCCCATTATGGACAAGAATTTCTACTTTGCACTTACGGTTGGGGCTGCGATCGAGGATGGCTTTGGCTATACAATGGAAAGCTGTCTAGTTCTTAACGTAATGGCCCTGGGATGTTTCGCCGTGCAGGCCCATAGGGAAGGTAACTATCCGTTGCCAGGCACTCGAAGTGGTCAATTCGACTCCCCGGAGTGGTTGGATGTGATTTACGAGGATCCGCCGGGACTACGTTTCTTCAACGAAGCTCGCCGCCGCATCGGGTTTTTGATGTGCAATAATGATCTCCAAAGCTGCCAGTTTTACCTTTTGTCATCGTACGTCACCCTATTCTATCTACACACCTACAACGTTTGCTAATTGAGGCGCAGTGTTTACTACAGCCAGATACTTCGAGTCATGGATTCGTGGGCTATGCTTCACCGCGCAGCTACTTGCTGCCTATCAATGTTGACTAAGTAAGTGTGCCTCGTGTGGAATTCCTTTGGCGGCTATTATCTGACACTCCGAAGCCACGATGTCAATTTCAACGAATGGGAGGGCGACATGAAGTCGCGCGTTTACTGGAACTGCGTGATGAATGAGACCATTCTCGTGCAAGAATTGCATCTCCCCCCAAGCGGACTTGCTCGACTCGAAGAATTCGTACCGATTCCAAAATTCATTGGTTTTGAAACTGTCGGCCTCGGTCCCTCCAGGGCCTCTTCCACGGATGAGATCGACGATTCCTTTTTCCAATACCACTTCCTCGCGCAGGTCGCTCACCGTATCATCCTAACTCGTATCCGGCATTCCTTATACTTCTACTGTAAGTTGTCTACTGGCATCGTTATGCCTCAACCCGGATCTAACATGATTGTTTTTCAGCCGACTCGGGAACATTCCCACTGCCTGCAATCAACGCGGAGCTTCATCACCAACTGGATCAATGGCGTCTTAATCTGCCGCCGGCGCTTCAGTTCTCCGACACTCTCCCAACTACGCCGGCGGCTGACACCCCTGCCGCCCCGTCTCCATCCCCGATATCGCCCCTTCCCCTCGACCCCAACCGTCCTCTATCCCCGGCCGTCGCCGTGTCAGAGGCCATGCTCCGCGGCCGGTACAAGATCGCCAAATTCCACATCGGTCGTCCATATCTGTACAAAGCGCTCCGCATCCCGGGCTCGCTCTCGGACGAAGACCTCGACCAGATGCGCAGCGGCCTCCGCAACGCCATGGATTGGCCCGTTGTCGGGGGTATCTTCCGAGCGATGAAAAGCTGTATTCCGATCAAATTCGCCTTTTGCTCCCAGTAGGTTCTCCACCCTCTTTTCCCAATGGAAATGACGATCCCCATCCATCCACATCCATCTAGGCCAGACCAACAATAATCACATCCTTCTCGAATCAACTTCCCTAATAATAATTCCCTCCCAATCCCCTTTCTTTTTTGAACTTTCCTAATCATTGATCGCAGATTCTTCGGCCAAATCCTCCTCTTCTACTGCATCTCCCACTCCCCTGACCCTCGCCTTCGAAGCACACTCCCTACCGGCTGGGAGCGATGGAACCACGAAATGTTGCGTTTCCTGGAAGACTGCGCGCTTTATAGTCCCGCTGTTGCGAAAGATTTGGAACTTTTGCGGCTGTTGTGATGGGCTTGCTCTTTTACCTCGCCTGGCGGCCTCGCCTTGTTTTACTTTCCTGGCCTGACCTGACTTACCTTTATTCCAGCTGGACAATCAGTTCGACATCATACGACTCGACCAGTTCTGATTAGTGTATGCCTGGCCGGTTGGACTAGTCAAACTGGCTAAGTACCTCTGTTCTCTATCGTTCCCTCTATCTATGTCCGAATATGGATAAAAACCAACCGCCGTTGTATGTATGATAGATAGGATTATTGCTATGATTAATGTACCGAACTGTATATGTATTCACCCACTGATATAGCCCCCTCCAAAAATATATACAAATTCCATCAGCAAGGGGGATAAGGACCTTGGGAGTTAAAGGTAGTAACGATTAATTATACGGACTAGCTATTTACACCCTCGTGTCGTACTCACTAGGTACAGCAAAAGTCATGATACTGATATGTCGAATCTAGAGAATTACTTGTCCCGATGAGGGTTTGATCAAGCATAAGCATGTAACAGGATGATGGAATGCAACGCAACAGAAACTAGAGACGCTAAAAGAGATGGAATCGCAGAACCGAATGAAAACCGAAATCTCATTGTGCTGTATGTATGGATATGGTTTCTTAACGCCACTCCCGGAGCCAACTCCTTACAGAGCCCATTCATCGGCTCTGTCTGACTCAGTGATGAATGGCTTCTCGATCTGTTTGATGGCGTGGTCACCACATAGAATGCTATTGAGAATACGGTTAGCTTTTAGCGTTCCCGGAGATAGATAGGAGAGGATGTGCCAGGGGCAGCTGTCATGTTTACGAGACAAGATGAAAAGGGAAAAAAGAAGTTAGAGACTTACCATGCTTCAGCGATCAATCCATCTAGTTCTCGTACGATATCCTCCCGTCGAGCCGGGCCAATGTCCCCCTTGTTCAGCTGCGCCTGCAGGTCACGGATGTATTTCTTCTTTCCGCCCGCCCCCTCGAGGACCTCCTTGCCTAGGCAGTCGCTGTGGAAGGCATGTTGACACGGGAAGACGAAGAACTGCCGGCTGAGAACTGGAAGGGAGCAGAGCCAGCACTTTTCCCCGGGCTCGACAATGGCGTACCTCGTGTCCAGACCCGAGATCTCATTTCGGATCTGTCGTGCGGTCTGCGCGGAATTGTCCATCTCCTGGCGCAGCGCGTCAATGTGCCGTGAATAATCCTCGAGGGCACTGCAGATCTCGTCCTTGAAGTCGTCGATGACGACGAAGTCCGGGAAGAAGGGGATGAGATCCTCAATGCGGAGGAGCTCGCATCGACGCAGGAATTCGATGGCATCTTTGATGCCGGTGCCTGGTTGTTGAATCTTTTTCTCCGCCACGAGAAGCCACAACTTCTTCCGGAGTTTGTCATTGCCCTCGGGCCTGTCGGCGATGATAGCTGCCAATTCAATATCATCATGCTGTAGAGCCAGCTCCACCGCCTGGAGATACTGTCCCATGGCACTGTAGATGTGGATGCATGACTGCACACGCTCATGATGGATGCAAAGGCGGAGAGCGAAGTCGGCATCATACGGGGGTGGGGATGATGGTTGCGATTGCAGATAGGTCAGAAGCCCAGCTTCCGTGGTGGAGTTGCTCGAGGCATGGATCGATATGAGGGTGTTGTGTACTGCAGCCGAGGGTCGGGGGTGATTAACGATGATGAAGTTCAAATACCGGACGGCCTGGTTCTGACTAAGAGCAACATTCACCGTCTTGTTGTAGTTCAGCAAGGCGGGTATGAGGCGTTCAGGTTCAAGATTAGTCTGTCGCATGAGTATGTCGACTAATCCTGTGGAAGCGTGGGTCATGAGCACGCTGCTATATTTATAGAAGACGTCAGGATCACTTTGTCTTTGGAGCACATTGAGCGCCTCGGTCCATTTCTCTCGCTGGATCCAATAAGAGAGAACGTAGTTGTGATCGTTCACGGCTGTGGCAAAGAAAAGTAATTCCTCCTCCCGACCATGACTGCTGATGATGTCGTAAACTGTCTTCTTGTCCAGGTCAAGTTTATACTTGGTCACAAATTCGTGAAACTCTGCGCGAACATCATCGAGGTTGGACCTGATTTCTTCCGTGCTTGTCCCCTCGGCCAGTTCTGCTCTGGTGGCTAGGTTATCATCAAGGGAGTTCAGTTTGGACATGAACACTTCCACTAGCCAGCTTGCAACCATGATCCGTTGCATCGACGACGACTTCTTGTACGTCGCTAGTTGGGAAAGAAGATACTTTCGCAGAGCATCGTGTTCTCCTCGGTTGATCAGGGTCAAACAAACCTCTTCAAACCCCTTGCTACTTTTGCCCCAAACCTTTGCTGCCTCGAGATAACGCCCCTTGGTCGCAAGGAAATCGCCTGAGGCGGTGGAAACAGCATCCTTTTGAGCGCTAGTTCGAGCGTGCTGAAGAGCTTGATCGTACATTTGCTTCTGCAGGAAGATCTTCCAAACATCCCTATCCTCATCTTCGACCACGACCTCGAAGATTTCTTGACTGGTAAATAGCCAATATGTATGCTGCATCGAGTCGGTTAAAAGACCGAGGGTGGTTTGTCGAGGTTCGAGCACTGCCTGGTCATAGACAATTTCATCATTCATGCGGTTGACAGCAACAACCCTCCCTTCGACCAGCGCCAGTATGTGCCATTGCGAGAGTGTCAAGGCAGTTATGGGGTCTTGAATGAGTTTCTTGCCTCCCCGTGCAGATTCGCTAGCCGGAAAGACTGATCGTGAAAGCATACTTGACTTCTCGAATGGCTGGTTGAGCTGATCTGAGGCATATGGTAGCTGGCCATGATAGATACCTTGCGAGCTGAGCCATGCAAACTCCTTGTCCGGATGCGAATCCACACTCGGACTGTCGGGCATAGACGAGGCAATGACCAAAGCTGACGGCGCCGCGCCGGACGGTTTCTGGATCTCATGGACCGCCGGTGTTTCCCGTTGAAAGAGATCGGCGTAAATTGAGCTACCCCCTTCTCTTCCACTGCGCCCCGTACGGCCGACGAAATAAGTAAGCCGACTATGGGTTCCAAGCAGCACCCGTCGCAGGTCAGGCTTGGTCGGGATCAGCTCTGCCCAGACTCCCGTTACCGGCGAAGCTTCCGGCACCTTGTAGACCACGCTCACGTGTCTCTCCTCGCGGCGATAGAATTCCGTTGACGGCTCAATGTAGACCTCGTATACAGTGCCATCGGTGGTCCCTAGGAGGATCTCCCTCGTTGAAGCTGTTGGTACCGAAGGGTTCCAAGCGACACTCTCGATCGAAACGCCCTTCAATCGCGACAGTGGTTTCGGTTGCCGCGATTGGGTGTGGAGGTAGTAGTTCTCGCCCAAGGTGGTCGCGATGATTAGATGCGATGCGGAGGGGTCCATAAACATGCGTCGGATCACTCCTGTTTCCGAGGACTTCTTCGGGAGGTCGATGTCTAAAGAGTAGCCTGATTAGTATCGCAACGAAAACCCAATCTGTAAACACATGGAAATCACCATACCGTCTATGTCCTCGGGGGTATCCAAATCGATACGAAGGATACGACCCGTTGACAGGGCCAGAACAAGCACATTGTTGGCGACCTGCGCAGCAACGAAGTCCGCAGCTAGCGGGAACTGGAGCTGGACACGTCGGACATCGAACATGGAGAGAGAGGCGTCGGGGGAATCAGCCAGATTGCCGGGAGCGACATAACAACTGGATGCATCCAGCGCCATGATGCGCCAATTAGATCGGTGAATCTTATATCATAGCGGGAATCCCCGAAGAAGCGTGGGATGTCGAAGTGAGAGAAGGAGGAGTAGCTGCGGTGCTCCGCGATTAAGGCGGAGTCGGAGCTGTTGGTGCCTGGGTGCCTGGGTGCCTGGGTGCCTGGGTGCCTGGGTGCCTGACTGCCTGTTCATTTTGATGCCTCAGGTATCAACATCCGAATAACTACGAAGTACTACATGTACGGTACATGCCCGATAAAACTCACAATACATGCCCTTTCCATCTATGTCTATCTCAGGCCCTCGTGGTCTATTATACCTCCTCAAACGCCATAGTAAAGAATAAACAACACAATAAGAGGTAAAGTGCTTCCATCAGGAAAAAGAAAATAAACACAAAACAAGTTCCACGCCTTGTCACTTGTGCCAAATATGGCTGGGTATCAAGCATTTCTCACTGCAGGTTGACAATCACATAACCACACACTCTCGTTCCAGCTTTCGTCCAATCTTCTCCCGTTGCTTCTCCTTGGACTTTTCTCGCTGCTTGCCTGCGTCTCTTGACGACCGCCATGAGAGTCTCTCTTTGGTGGTTTCACCACTTCCGGGGCCCGACTTCTCCCCGAGGTGAGCAGCCAAGTCGTTGCCTCCGGGTAGTTCGTCGTCGCCTTCAAGTGAGAACCCGTCATTGCTGATTTTATCCCTGCTGAGCCGCCCAGTGAACCGCGAAAGGGTAGTGCTGATCCTTTTTTCACTGCTATGGCTTCCGGCGCGGCTACCAGGATTGCTTTTGGTCGGCTTTGAGCTACGTCGAGAGAAGGTGTTGGAGTTCCTTCTACCATCGTCGTCTCTAGGGCCAAGCTGCGGTGAACTAGACGAAGCGGTATAGACTGATAATCCCCCGGCTTGATTCGCGGAGTCTGAGAAGGCTATACTTTGCTTTCTCTCATTCAGGTCCAACTGTACGTTCTCCGCATTATCGGGGCCGGTAATTTCAAAGCTCGGCCGGTGCCGATGAAATGTCTCGGGGCGATCACTATCACGGCCATCCGCAGGCGATAGATTGAGATTCTGCATGACCGCAGGGTCCATGTCGTGAATTTCCTCGGATAGTTCCTCGGAAGAAACCTTACTGGGGAAGTTGGCCACCGCCGCGTCCTCGTCGACAGGCAGTATCTGATAGAACAGCAGATAGGGCGATTCGTACTTCAAGGCTTGTTCAATATCAACCAGAGTCACACGTTCTTTGGCCAGATCGTCGAAGCGCATCCAATACCGCGGGGCGTTCGAAGCATTGTCTTCGACCCCATGGGAGCTAGCCGGAGCTGCACCGGCACTAGTACCCCGAACAATAGCGATGTAATGTCCTGAGTCGACCGAAGTACCCCGGTGACAAACTATCGCTTGCAGTGATAATTTAAAGCTTCCATAGATCGGGCCTTCTGCGTCCATACTATCGTCCTGGATAAAATGTGGCAGCCCAATCTCCGTTGGGATATCGACAAAGGTATCGAGTCGGATTGCTTTCCCACTGGGTAGCATGGAGTAGCGCTTCAGGCACATGCCAAGAATCGGTCGCTTTGAGGAAAAGTGCGCTGCGACCTGCGCATCGTTGGTGGGAGTGTTATCAGTGTACCACGCTGCATAGGAAGTTAGAAGCCGAACTCAAATGTGCAAAAACAAAGCGACTCACGAATTAGACTGAAGAATTGCCACGCAGGCATCATGACCTCCTTTCTGTAAGAACCTCTTCTCTGGGACGTTATAGGACCCAAGTCGTCCGCTTTTTCGTCTTCAGGGTCTGGTATAAACCGTTCCTGTACGATGCTGCTTCGTCGAGGCATTTGAGAGTCTGTATTACCCGTTCCCGTCACTGACGATATCGAATTCATGCTATCAAGTCGCACGGGAGTTGACACTGTTGGTGAGGCAGAAGGTGAGGGGGAGACTTCCACGGTTTCGACGTGCGTCGTGAGACCCTTGGCCATAGAATCGACTGACTTCGTGGAGCTCACCGTATTGCGTCGTTCTAGGTGGCGCTTCACTTCAATCTTATTGTTGAAGTATGATTCCAGGCAGTCTTCCAGTGTCACCGTTTTCCCCTCTTCCGGTTCTGGGATTGCCACTTCCAGCAGTCTTTCGTTGACGAATTTGTGATCACCGCTGATATCCTCTTTTCCAGTGTGATATATATCCATCTTCAAAGTAAGGAGTGGTAATTCTAGCTTTTCTGTGATGAAGGTGAATGCCTCCGAGGCATCCTGTTGACGGAGTTTGGCCGCATCCTCCCAGCCACATTCAGCAAGCGCATCCTGCAAGTGTTTTGTCTGGAAAAAGACGGATAAGCATCGATCTTACAAATAACAAGATAGGGTTTACATACAAGGTCCGTCGTGATAAGCTTTCCCGAGCGCAGCATGTTGACCCAAAGTCTCAATAGTATGGCAAGTTTTCGGCGGGGCTCATCACTAAAGGACTTGTAAAGAATTGCCTCGAAGCAATCCAGGCGTGCAAACATGGCAAAAAGCAGTGCATCCAGGTAGCAAGTGACATTCTCTCGGTTCTCCGCTCCCAGAAGCTTCGTGCGCGGGGTATAGTCTCGTACTATTCCTTCGATTGAATCCTCGAGAAGCAGGAGCAACTCAAAGGCTTTGTCCACATCTCCTTGCGCATGGGGTGATTGTAGCGAGTAGACTAGATGGTCCTCTTTCAAATTTGTGATTCCAAGTTGAGAAATGCGGCGTTCGAGTGTTTTGACCTGCTTACCCGATAGGGAATTAATTAGTTCAGAAGCCCGAGTGGGTGTGCTTGTCTATTGTTCACCTTCTTCTGTTCCTCACTAGCATTGTCGGTGGAGCGGTCTGACGAGAAGAATCCACGGAAATGAGGGCGCGAGAGTACGTTCGAGGCCTAGTAGCCAGCCCGAGAAAGGTCAGCATTTGCAGGTGTCTCCAGGAGAGTGGGGTAGATTCTACCTCTTCCTTGATGTGTTTGTCATGTCTGCTATATCGCTCGCGCCTGGTGAGAAACCTATGAATACCACTCATCTTTCAGGGTAAAGTGTCCGTAGCCAGAGGCTTTCTTAAAAGGCAGTATAAAATTGCTTGTGAGGTGGTCGATCTGGAGATGAGTCGGCATGGGCGCAATATAAACTAGCTCAGGCCCCAGAATTCCCATGGAGCGCACGAAGAATTTCCTGTGGGGTTGGCGACCATATCAGGTGCCTTTTCTGTGAACTGTTCTGATCTTTTTCTTTTAGTGTTGAGGCGTGGATTAGCAAATCCACTTGTGTGCTAGGCACCAGCTGAGAACTCCTAGTGACATCACATTTGGTGGTATAGGAGTACTAGTTCAATGGGAGATGAGACATCCAAGTCCAGAACACAGGCTTGTGGCAGGAACAGTATGATGAGGGTCGAGCGAGAACCTCATCAGAAGATCAGGGCACCAGATCGACGGACTTAGGGCGCGGACGTCCAGCAGCAGCTTCGCTGTCTTTTGGGGCGGGGAGAATGATTGAAGCTGATCACATGTGGACTTCCCGCCGCTGCGGAGCGGCGGCTGCCTGATATGTCTGCCAGTTTTTTCAGGCTAGAAAGTTCGCGGTCCCACGTGACGCCGTCCCGAAGAGTTGAGGTTGTTCTTGTCGCCGATCCGCGAAACAATTTTTGGACGGGCTCCAGTCTCCATTCAATTTGCAGCGACCACCCTTCCTGTCGAGCTCAATGGCTGCCAGTGAACCCTCCAGATACCTGGCAAGGTCATTGCCTCGGGCTTTTGCCCCATCGGCCATCCCCAAGGGCTTCTGCTTTCGCCGCAATGCCTCCGATCAAGCGTCGTCCAAGGCACCGGTCGAAATCAACGATGTCGAGTCAGCGGGCTCCCTAACTAGCACTCCAGTGCCGGAGGACGTCGTGAAGTCCTTTGATCCCATCGCAAAATCCAAGGGCCGCAAGAAGCAGCTGCCGCGGAGTCGGTACGTTTATTTCACCACGCACTGCAACTTTGCAGACAATCGAATTTCTTCCTAAACTTGAGTCCTGGTCTCTAATCTTGAACGTCCAGTTACCAATTCCGTTCGCCGAAATATGATCGCGGTCCGCTCCATCCTCACCGACCTCCGCCTCCCTCTGACCCCTCTTCCCGTCTCTTCGTTCCTGGTCCGTTCACCCTGCCCAGAGTTGAGCAGACCTACCAGTCCACCGTCGCCTCGGACATCCTCGCCCTCTGCTATGTACATACCCCTCCCGGCTTCAAGCCGCCGCCGAAATCCCCCCGTCTTCGCTCGTGGGACGACAGCTCGCCTTACCACAAGAACCGACAACTGCGCGGACCCCGTGGCGGTGATGTCCTGCGCCTCCTTCGCAAACCCATCACTTTCAACAACGTCCCGGAGCTAGAGCGTATCACCATCCACAGTTACGTCAAGGGCGCGGCGCAGGAGAACTCGTCGTGGATTCACGTCGCTGGTATGGCCGTCCAGGCCATCTCGAACGTGCGGGTTTCGACATTCAAGTCCAAGACCAGCGTTGCCACCTGGGGCATCGCTCCCGGCAGGGACACGGTTGCCGTCAAGGCCGAGCTGCGCGGCGAGAACATGCTCCATTTCTTCTCTAAGCTGGTGGACGTTGTGCTGCCCAAGATCAAGGATTGGGAAGGTGTCAAGGGCACCAGCGGTGACAGCAGTGGTAACATCACCTTCGGTCTGGATCCCGAGAGCGTGGCTCTTTTCCCGGAGATCGAGGTCAACTATGACATGTAAGCTTACCTATTTTTCTTCTTCGCCTCTCTTGCGCGCTGGTTCTTGCTCGTTTGAAATTGGTGGCTAATTTTCGGCTTTGAACAGGTACCCCCCTAAGCTGATTCCCGGTGCTCACATCACCATCCACACAAGCGCCAAGACCGACAAGGATGCCCGTCTTCTGCTCAGCGCCATGGGTGTTCCGTTCTACGGAAAGTTGGTTGATTAGATGTTTAAATTAGAGGAGGGCTCTGGATGCCATTGCCTTGGTTGATGTTGTTGGGATCTGTAACATGGAAGCCATTGCGACACTTTTGAAATCTTGTAAATTATCTATAAATTGTTTTTATCGACTATTTTCTCTATTACTGTACGAGCTTTCCCCAATTTGGTTTGTCGAGTATAGAATTCATAATGCATGCTGGATAATTGCTCTAACGTCTCGAATTTCAAGTTTTATTTATCTCATCAAGAACTCTGTTATGGGTTCCTGCAGATCCATATGGACTATGAAATCACACAAACCACACAGGATTCCACCATCCAAACCGCCATACACCTCTACCGATCCGAAACAGCCAAGAGCTGATCTCCAGGGATCAATTGCACTATCTTTACCAGCCCAATGAGATGCTCAACCTCATATACTACGGTGTGCTCCGTAATTATGACCGACCCGGATCGGCAGTCTACTTAGCCCATCGCCTCGTGCGGGAGTACTCTTTTGTGACCTGTCCGGGGGTCTGCTCTCAGAGCCAAGAGATGGCACTCTATTTGCTAACTATATCTAGTCAGTGCATTGATTAGTCTATGTATGCGGCTCTAGTTTCCTCGAAAGGGGTATTAAAGCTCAGTTCTATCTGCCTTGTTCTTCGCCTTTGTACTCTGTTGAGCCAGTCTGTTCTTTCCTGTTGAATCCATTGGTATCTTTCTGATTCTTTGCCCCTTGGGATTAAGACCTTGTGTCAGTTCATCCCGTGTCCGCGATGTTTCTGTTCTCCAATCCCCCACTGTGTATATTGAACAGAATGCGGTGGTCAATGCTCCTCACGCTTGTCTTTTGAGGACTTCTCGTCGCTTAGCAGAGCAGAGAAACGCATCTGTTATGTTCCAAGTGGAGCATCAACCAATGACGTACCCTGTTCCTCGGATGATGGTGCTCTTTGTTGTCCGGATGATACCATCTGCCTGGGAAATGGAATCTGCTTTCAAATAAACGGAATGTATATGACAAGAGGTAGCTGCACGGACCAAAGCTGGGAGAGCAGCGCTTGTCCAACTGTCTGCATAGGAAGTACGTCTCTCTCCGTGTTTGTTGTTTATACCTGGGAGTTAGTTCCTGGCTGGCTGACTTTGGGCCTGTGCGATTTCGCAGGAGATGGAAAAACGAATGTCGAGCATCCCCAAGTCTTACTTTTGGGGGTCAGAAACAATGAACCCCAGTATTGCTGCGATCAATATAGCGTGGCAGACAATGGTCTTTTTTGCAACAATAACGCCTCGTCATTTACGCTGGGTGTCGGAAAACCCATAGTCGGAAGGGCGGCGCTCATGGGTCTCGGGGTCACTGCTCCGGATGATATCAAGACCAACAGAATCAACACCTCCCACATTCCGGACGAATACCAGGTCAATTCCAGGAAGGAGACGGCTGTCGGCGCAGGTGTGGGTGTGGGTGTTTCGCTCGGTGTGATTGCGCTAGCGTTGCTGGGATGGGCACTCTGGCTGTTGAGACAGAACCGGAATCTGAAGAAGACTAAGGCGCAGAATCCAGAACAAGGTAAGGATCAGTTCCAAGGTCAGATGGGTTATGAGGGTCAGTCAGGAATAATGATGCCTTCGGGCGGACAAATGAGCCCCGAATCCCCTACATATGGGCGTGATAGTTATCGTGTGGAGCAGATGGAGATGCATGAGAATCCGAGTGAATTGCCAGGGATGCCTAAGCGCGGCCCTTAAGTTGCACTTTTGATATTGATGTGGTCTGTTTGGTGTGTATGAAACGAGTTGGTGGTTTCGCTTTGATGTATACTTTTCTGTAACTGGTTGCTGATGAATGGTTCTTTCAGTGCTCAACTGAAGATTTGCAGGGCAGCTTCGATGATCGGACTGCACAAAGCCTGTCTGTCAAATACTATCTGACTGCGCGCTTCAATCATTGGGACTAACTCGAAGCCTCAAGCATGATATTGATATTGATAATGATTGCTTGTATGCTGGAGATTGGGTTGCATGCGCCGGATGTATGATGATAATGCAGACTTTTGTAATTAAGTGACGTTTCTGACAGAATTGAACTTAGATTTGAAGAAGCTAGGATGAACCAAATTCTCCTCTTAAGAAATCTGCGCATAGGATCCGGTGTTGAACGGCTCGGTTGAGTACTGGGTGACGCCGTAGCTGTCCTGTCCTAACTTCAGTTCCATGCCTTGTCAGGTGTCTTCCAGACAGCCTAGCTACTGCATACTGACTTTGTGCATGAATGACAGGCATTACGCTACTTCACCAGAGCAATAAAATGTATTGCTTGAACTCTAGCCGTTGTCTGTTTTCCGTAGCTGGATTTGTACCCTGCATCTTTGTCATGTCTTGCCCAGTCTTTGGTCCACAGGTCCTTTTTTCCATGCTGACGCAACCTGCATCTTTGCTTGGGCTTTTGACACTATCTGACTCATGGTTCTGTTTGGACAGCCCTGTACAGTTCAATGACTCCTTGGCCTGGGTACGAGAGATGAATTGTGTAAATACGAGTTGTCCATATGCTCAATCTGTTTACTATCCATCAGCGGGCATAAACCCACTTTTACACAGCCGTCGATTCTGGTTACCGCGAAATGACCGAAGATATAACCAAGGCTCGTCTCGTCCAGCCTTTTCGACGGATGGATGCATCGGGCTGGCAAGTGTAATATCAAGAGGGTTTCTGTCTTCTAGCCCATCACTAGAGGATCCTGTGATCTGATAGTATATTGAAATTCAGGCACAGTCGTGCTTTTTTCTCTGGTTAAGATTAGTTTGACACATTTTTATCCTACTAGGAGCATCTACATGCATCTAAATACACGGGATAATGATCTCCGCATGGTGGTTTTACTATCTAAGCTGTTGCCGCTATTTCAGTCCGGTTGCAGTAAACGTTGCAGTAAACATCAACATTGGATTAATTTTTCAAATGCTCTTCAGGGCCACCAATCCTAAGATACAAACAGGAAACAGTTATTGTCTTCTTCTCACACATGAGTATGCATGATACTCTTCGCTGCTCATTCCAACGGCTTCTTTCCGACCACACAAATTCGAGGAAGATCCCAGGCTGATCCAGCTTTAGTTTCGCGATGAACCTCTGGAAGTAAATCCCTGATCTTTTCTATCCACTCAAAGCCCTTCAGCTTGAGGACTACTCTTTCCTGGACCAACAAGCCACACATGTGAAGAGGCATGATAAGGTCGGGCGGTGTATCTTTAACATCAGACTCGACGGCGGCCAAGCCATGTTGACGGAAAATCTCCGGGAGATTTGAAACCCAGGTCGGCTTGAAACGAGCATCAACTGGGTGAATGATGCTCAGCCTGTAAAGCTCCTCGAGGGCTTCTGTCTTGTTATCCGGGTGAGACTTCTTGAACCGGCAGGATAAGAGATCATGTTCGGACCACTGGAGGTAACCACCGGGCTCTGTATAACGAAATATCAATCAGCTTAGGAGTCGAGGAATCGCATTGCCGCTTAGAGCTCCGTATTTTACTTACTGAGAAGCCTCATAAAGTTACCCATTACATGATCTATGTCATTACTTCTGAGGACGAACCCGACAAGCGAAATATGGACAATGTCATAGACCCCAACCAGTTCTTCAGGGACCTCGGAAAAAATGTCCCAATACCGAAGAGTCATATTTTTTGGTAGAAATTCTTTCGGGGGAGCGTTATCAAATGATATATCCAGTCCGTCAAGGGTCACGTTCGGAGGAAGCCGGCGCGAAAGGCTCGAGAGCCAGATACTTTCAGAAATTAGCAACAAACGTTGAATTGGCAATACTGGGGAACCCTACCCACTGCCTGATGCAACATCTGCAATCCTGAGATTGGGGTTGCCTGTGGGGATCGAAGGGTGGAGAAGGTAACCAAACACTTCGTTCACATAGTAATGTTGAAGGTTGAGACTATATACCATGTCAGCTAAATTTCAACGTTGATTCTTGCCATTCCGGCGAAGAGAGCGCACATACCGGCTGGTTTCGAAAGAGTCCCGCTCAAGGACATAATCGCCCGACATCTTAAAGTGTGAAAGAGGAAGAAGAGGAAGAATGAAAATTTCAAGTGATGGTGACTGACTGTTTGGATGGTCAATTAGTCCAGGAAACAAGGCATCAAGAAAATCAGCAAAAGGAACTGAACAATCGGAGACTTGAGCACATGCATATTTATATCACATCGGGTATGCGGGCTTATAACAGCTCTTGAGGCAGGGACTAGTAGGTACAGTACACTCATTCTCGAAATTGGCTTGGCCGATACACACTGAATAACTCTTTCTTGGCCCTACAGCCAAGACCTTAGCGTAGATCATAAATTGATCGAGTTACAGGAAATTGAGGACCGATATGTATCGAGCTATGTATGGTAACTAATATATCTTTCCTTGCATAAGAATACATTTTGCGCTTTGACTGTGAGGCAACTTAGATGCTGACAGTTGATCGACACAGTAAGTTACTAGATAAGGGGAATATAACGGCGGCCCGCGACTTAGCTTGGCCTGTCCGAGATATAATATCCGCTAAGGTTTTAGCAATGTAACCGTAATGCGTATTGTGTACTGAATACTGATCAGGCGTGATATTTGCAGCAGAGAAAATCGCTTTTTTTCAGAAAAGAAAATCTCTCCTCTTCTAGTAACTGAGCTCGTTACTCCATTTCAGGTCTGTCTTGCAATGGATCCCAAGCTACTCCGTATAGACGAGCAAGACCTACCGCTGTCGCCCAAAGAGCGAAAGTACGTGGCAATATCCCACGTCTCTCGATCTATGGTCGAAACATCGGATGATCTGACATGCATTAATAGTTAATAATACAGGACGAGACGTCGCTTCCATGATTGTCAGGCACGATCATGGGCGGGGAAGGGTGAAAGGGGAAATGCAAGACGCAACACAAGTACAGGGTTTGATATGAACTATTTGGGGGCCATGTATTACATGTATGTACGTTAGGCTGCTGGACTCACTGACCAACCCCTTTTCTTTTAAGCCTCCTTAAAAATGAGTATTACAGATACGCAACAATCTGTAATATTAAAACTGGTTGCCGTATCGATATACTATACTTGGCCCCCGCCTCTTTGGCCAAGAACCACTACGGAGAGTATAGGCCGATGCGCATTCTAAGCGGTTAGCTTAGAATTCTGGTCTTTTTAGTCAAACATAAACTAAATTCAGTAGTTAGGCAGTAACTACCTCCCGTCACAGTTATTAACTTATTTGGCCCCTCACCCCCCGGATAATTGGCCTCCCCCCTCTTTGTCATTTGGCCCTCCACCCTGAATAATTGGTCCGTGATGAACTGGCCAAGAACTACGATAGAGCGATGCACGTTCCAAGTCATTGACTCGGAATTCTGGTCTTTTTAGTAGCTCAGTGGGTGAACATCCCAACTGCGAGCGTCAGCTAACGGTCTGATTGGTAGAAATGCAACCTACTGTTGATGACCGTAGCATGGTTCCCCTCTCCCTTCTTTGTTATTTGGCCCCTAGGTTACCCTCGGATGATTAGCCCCCACCTATCTTCATGATTGGTTTGAAGATAGATAGAATGATTTTGGAATATGTGAAACCTTTCCCCCCGAAGTAAATCCGTTTTATGGGCTGATATCTGGAAGATCACTATTTTGGGCCGGTTTGCAAATGATAAGGCAGACACGGCAAACACTTGCATAAACTTGTAAACAATTGCCATGTACACAAATTTAAGTCGCTCATAGCATTCACAACCTCTGTCTGAATAAAATTCAAGATACTTAAGACTGTAAATAGTTATCTCAATTGTTTGCCATTAATTTCTACGAGCCATTGACTCATATTGTGATGTGTTGCGTGATGATTTAATCAGAACAGTTTGAGGGGGGGCGGCAGATATATACATTCTCCACTATGGAAGTAGAAGACTACACCGAACCCGGCACATGTGCAGGTCAAGTCTAGGCAGCAGCACCCGCAAAAATCTGTTGAATGATATTGGTGAGTTCCTCCGGTGTCGTGATTGTTGGACAATGACCAGTCTCGATGTCAAAGGTCCTGACCTTGCGCCCTGCAGCTTCTATGCCCTCTACAAAAGCTTTCTGGTAGGCAAAGGGTAGGAGGGAGTCGTTCAGAGTGCGAATATAGGCCACGGGAATCTCCCGCCAAGCGCAGTGCTCCAAGGGCTGACCGAAGGTCTTTGAATTCCAACGTCCTAGGGATGCTAGGAAGGTTTCCAGGTCTTCGTCTGAAAGCCCGGGGCCGACAACACCCTTAGCATCCCTCGGAAGACAGGTCCCGTCTTCGGCGTAGTCGAACATGAAAGGTATAATCTCTCCATGCCCAGTTTGCTCAATGAGCCCGAATATCGATTGACCCTCCGAGATTGCGTGCGCGCAAATGTAGACCAATTGGATCACACCGCCAGATAAGCCCTGTTGTTTGCGAGCTTCGGCTCCCAGGCCTGCAAGAGCATTGGTGCCAACTTGACCCCCATATGAATGCATAAGGACAATCAAAGAGCGACCATCATCAGCCAATCCAGTGACCAATTGGCGAATGGCAGCCGAATCCGTATAAAGGTCCGCGGTTGGAGGTCGTGCACCATTCATAGATGTGAGTTGAGGGACGTGGACCGGCAGGCCTAGTTGAGATTCAAGAATAGTGCGGAACTTGGCATATGATTCTGGGTAGTGCCAGGCACCTCCGATGAGGACAATCTCGGGCTTTGGGGCGGACATGATTCAAAGAAAGAACGGAAAGGAATGGTTTCTTGAGTTTGATCAGGAACTTGAAATGAAGAAAATGTAAGAAACGACAGAAGTAGTGGGGTAGATGATGCTTCTTAAATATAGGCTAAAAGGTGGGGGCCTTTTAGAGCCCCCGAATTACCAAGGGGTATCACAGCAATGTAGATATTTTAATTACTAAAAAGCCTTGAAAAGCCTTGCATATCCACAACCCGAGGTATAAGGTAGTATCACCTCGGGTTCGCTTGGCGAATATGAAAGAGAATGACTACTGTTTTCGCGAGAGGGAAGGTATATGGTCTCCCTGGAATATGAATAAAGTTTTGGCTCGGCTTTCATCCTCTGGCCGGTCACCACATGTGCAGACATGTATAGTGATCAATTGACGATATTATTGAAGTCCCATTAGTTACTATGATAGAATATCTCAGAAAAATTACAAGCGATAATATTTACATTCAAGCGCTGGTTTAAATCGACCGATTTCCAAGGATTGCATCCACATGTACATAAGCTTCAAAATACAGGTAAGATGCTATGGACCAACATGGACCAACATTTGAAATAGCCATGAACCGCAGTGAACAAGTGGCTTTCTATATTTTTGATTGTTTTTATTTTTATTTTTATTTTTTTCAAGGTCGGGAGTCCGTGGGGAAACCTTGGGGATATCTTGATTCTGGGTACTGTACAAAGAGTTTTGCTACGAAAATAAACAACCAATGAGTAACACAAAACATTCGAGCCATACAATCTCAAATCTGAAACCTATACCCAAGTCATAAACTATATACTAAGTAGCATTTGAATGTAGTCTGGAATATTTGAACCTTCCAGCCTCATAGTAACCTTGCGGTTGCTCTCCTTGATTAGCATGTCAAACAACTTGATGAACATTTGAAGGCGGCCTTTGTGATTCTTCGTCCCATTTCACATTCACATCCGTCTGCACACGCACCGAGCCCATATCTTTCATCGCATATTCCGAGGCATGGTTTGCCTTATCTGTGGGATGCTGATCCAATTGGGTCCCTTTCGCATATAGTGTAGAACCGCCAAAACTGGAGGAGCCGCCTTTTAGTGGCTTTCTATCGACATAGTCGGAGCCATAAGTCCGAGAGTAATTTGAAAACCTTTGAAGACAGTGGCGATAAAGACTCGGATACGTTGCAAGACAGGCGCATATGATGCTCAAGTTCATTTCAACCACTTGCCAAGTACCCGCGACGCTTTGAGTAGCTGCTAGGAGTCAGCTTTGGAAAATCAACAACCGTGTCAAGCGTTTCAACATACCTGTGGGGTTCTGTAAGTTGACTTTTGTGAGAAAGTTCAGGCGCAAAATGCTTCCGATACATACTCTATATAACGTTAGTATCTTTCTTGCAATACAAGATTCTATTCAGAACATACACTCCTCCAAGGCAAAAGACTCCAGACAGAAGAACCCTTTGTTTCCAGCCCATTTTAAGCTTCCAAACCAGTGGTTGTGGGAGACAAAGGATGATGAAATCTAGCACAACATTGATAATTCCTGTGGCAAGCCAAAATTGCTTGATCTGGATGGTAGTGTAGGGCAACCATACTTTCCATTGTGCCTCCACTGGGCTAAATGAAAAGATTAAACCGAACTCATTGGACATAAAGAAGCCGAAGACTAGAAAGCCCACAACCCACGAGGCAATGCGAAATGGTTTTCGAATTTGGAAGATGCGTTGGTAAAATAGAAGAATGGAGACCTTTGAAAGCGTGACGCTAGCGGTGTACATCATGTTGTAGCTAAGAACAAGCTAGTTCAATCGATCAACATTAATGGCATTGAACATTTTTACGGGTTCCCAAGGTCCCAGAACAGTTGACAAAATTGGAGATGAGGGACACCTTACTTGCATATATTTGATCAATGTTGCCTTACTGTAGAACCAAATATCATATCCACCATGGGCGTCTGTGGCTGCCATAACTATGCAGATAAAGCTTCCGTATGCTAATACCAGCGCACCAAAGCAAGTCCAGTCATCCCACTTCACTGAAAGGGTCAGGAGTCGGGAGGTAAACCGTAATATGACCGCAACTGTCGAAAGGAAAGTGAACACTGTTGTAACACCCACAAAGACCGCGAAGTCATTGTGAATCTTGTCGGGCATCAAATCTTGAGATCCAAACATTGTGAAAGATTGGCCGCTGTCTACTCAAGACACAAAATAAGAAAAGAAGAAAGACAGGGGGGGATTAGGACATACATAAAATAAAAAGTAATACAAGGCTTGAATAAAATCTTGCGTCTAAGTAATGGGGTCCAAAGGTTCACTGGGCGTGGGGGACAAGTGTTACAGGCCTGAAAGTAAGTAGGGGCGGTTCTACAAACCCAGCCCCCTTTCTTAGCTGCAGCTGCAGGATGAACATAATGTTGGGTTACCGACTTAGTGGTCATGACAGCAAGGAGGGGGGGCATGTCTTCACGCACATGGCACATGCAGATGACGGAGTGGGGGCCAATTTTTCATGATGAATGTTCATGAACTACTCTCTCCAGAGCTCTAGTTACTCCCAACATCATAACGTGTATATAACAATGCAACCCAGGTTTCTTGAAGAACCAACAAATAGCGCGAGAAAGATTCTAATTAGATAGGGCTAGCCTCGAAACTTCACTGAGGCTGAGTAGTGATTTTTGACACATCGAGAATCACTTGTGCTAGTTTATCAACCTCACCAGGCTGAGTTGGCGGGTTATGTCCGGCTGAGTGCTGCAGGTTCACACGATTTGAAGCGTCACACATTTCCATTACGAGCCGACTTTCGCCCGGATACTCCGTATCTTGGGGACTCCAACAATGGATGGTAGGGACCTTGATGGGGGCAGTAACCTGTGTTGGGTCCATGAATTCTAATCTTCTCATCTGAAGTGCATCCCAGTCACATGGCAAACAACTGGAGAGTAAAATTGCGAATTTGAATGGCGACTCCACGAACCCAAGCTTGCTCCAGTTGAATAGGAACATTACTGATAGCGTAGCCCCCAAGGAGAACCCCATGATAGCATCAAATGGCCCGTTCTCAGCCACATAGTCTGCAAGGTCTTCCACGGCTGACAGTGCTCCTGATGGTGTTCCATCAAAATAAGAATAGCAAACTTCATCCCGCCCAAAGACCTCTGCAATTCCACGAGCAGCTGGCCATGGATGTTCTCCGCCGATGAATTCGAAGTTGAATGCGTGGCGCAGTTGATATCGCAACGCCGCTAGGTCCCGTTAATATTGAGCGGCTTGTTCTGAAAGGCTGATGATTGACGGTAGCCTTACCGGTTTGGGCCTCGAATATCTTCACCACAACTTTAGTTGAAAGGGCTCCGATTTAAATTAACAGTGCCTGGGCGTCATTACATACCTCACAGTTTGTCCCAATTCCATGCAGGCAGAGAACTCTCAGTTTCACACCGTCAGGCTTTCGTGGAATCTCACTCATGTTCAAATGTTTGCGGGTTGTAGTTAGATCATATGCGGACTTTGCCATCTTCAAATGTGGTCAGGGTATAAATAGAAGAATGTCAAACACTGGTAATATCAGCCACCAACTTTCCTTGAAACATTGAACATTACATGTGCATACAGGCCTCGCGAGCCCGCTCGATAAGACAGGGAGGAACAATAGACGCACTAGTGAGCCCGTGCACAAGTACTGTAGTCTTTACATACTCCGTAGTTACAATCTTTCTGGGATTCCTTGAATAATCGACTAGGATCTTTAGCCCATCCTGAGCCCCCGTTAAGATAACCACTTCTGTTATTAGATCCGGTATGCGCGGACGGTGGACTAATTGCTTACTGTCTTAGGTGCTATCTCCGTGCCACAAGGAACGGGTTTCTTGATCCCATACGCTTTGCTGTAGCCAAGGCTAGGAGCATCGTGCCGGGGTAGTGAATCATGGTAGCGAGTTTGGGGCCAAATAGTAGAGTAGCCAATGTGCTCATTCAGGCATTAAACTGCCTAGGTATTTTAATACAAATACGTCCACGCGTTAGTTCAAGATAGCAGAGTAGTACCTAGCAATCTCGCTAATGAAGCCTCTCCCGCCTTGCCTAGGCACTAATGTGTCCCAAGCTTGTCTTGGCACCGGAGGAGGAGTACCGTGCAGGCGCCCCAAATCGGCTGGCATGAATGTCTCACGCCGATGGCCTGATCCTTAGAGAAAGCTACTACGTATACGGAGTAGGTAAAGGTATATTATATTGAATATATTAGCGCTAGTGCTAATATGGACGTACATACATAACTGCCCCCACCCGCATACGCTACTCCGGAGTATGCCCGGAAAATTGCCACGAGTTGTTCTTTTTAAACCCTGGTCGATGAATTAATTAAAAAATATCTACTGCCACGGACCGACCCCATGATAGTATTTTGTTTTTGTTTTGTCAGAAACAATACCCCAAGACGAAGATGGGGCGGGAAGCTACTCAGTATGGGGTTGACAAGCTTGGAGGAACTAGTTCTTGAGTAGGGTAGACCACACATACTCCGTACATACTCAGTAGGTTACATCCACATGACTTGGTAAATTTTTATGTTGAACCGTCAGAGCCAACGGGGATCTACTAAACAGCATCCACTTAATCAGTGATTTGTCCTTTGTTTGCTAAATAGAGCCGGGATTCCTCTCCGGAAGGAGGAGATATTCAGTAACAGCTAGCGTTCCAAGATTCAATATTTGACTTGATAAAAAGTCGCGGTTTCTCTATTTTCCCAGCTCTTGAAACTATACTCCACAATGCCTCTTCTATACGATAGTCCAGATCTCTCTGGGCCAACTCACACGGAAGGTGGACAAGATCTAGCCATTGTGGGATTTGCTTTTGAATTCCCTGAAGAGGCTACATCTAGCGAACGGTTCTGGCAGATGATTTGCGAGGGAAGATGTGCCAGTGCAGACTTTCCAGAAGACCGTCTGAATATTGACAACTTTTATCACCCTGATGAATCACGCGAAAGCACGGTTAGTATTTTCGCAGTGTTCACTTGGAATTGAAGGCTCACCTATGTATAATTGGTTTAGTTTCCAGTTCGTAAAGCACATTTTGTCAAAGAGGACCTTGGGGCATTTGATGCACCCTTCTTTTCCATCACCCCTGGCGAAGTATCTTGTATGGACCCTCAGCATCGACGGTTGCTTGAAACAGCATATCATGCTTTGGAAGATGGTATGCTCTATTTTGAATCTTGCACATGGGCACGAACCTTGAATTAACCACTAGCCATAGCTGGTGTTTCGTTACAAAGCTGCACAGGATCTGATACTTCGGTTTACACTGGATGTTTTGCAAATGACTACGGTAGCCTCATGCAGCAGGATATGCAGGAAAAAGAGCAAAGGCACACCGCTTGTGGTATTGCAGCAACAATGCTGGCCAATCGACTAAGTTGGTTCTTTAACTTCAAAGGCACGTCGATGAACATAGACACTGCATGCTCAAGTAGCCTCGTGGCCCTTCATTTGGCATGTCAGGATCTTCTTACAGGGACCTCTTCTATGGTATGAATGCTATATACAGTTCCGCTGCTTCCCTCACATGGCTAATCTCTGCCGAAGAGTCTCGTCGGTGGCACAAACTTAATCTTCCATCCCAATTTCATGAAAATGGTATCTCAGTCTGGCTTACTCTCACCTGGCGGTCGATGCTGGAGCTTTGACGAGCGTGGAAATGGATATGCTCGCGGTGAAGGCACGGGGGTTCTGGTCATCAAACGTGTCGAAGATGCCATACGGAATGGCGATACCATTCGTGCAGTTATTCGCAATACCGGATCCAATCAAGATGGGAAAACGCCCGCAATTACCCAGCCAAGTATGGAGTCTCAGCTTTCTTTGATCAAACGAACGTATCGACTGGCCAACCTTGACATGGAACCGACTCGCTTTTTTGAAGCGCATGGAACAGGAACTGCCGTTGGAGACCCGATAGAAGCCAATGCGATTGGGAATGCCTTTCGCGACTGTCGCTCGACATCAGATCCACTCTACATTGGAGCCGTTAAGGCCAATGTGGGCCATTTGGAGGGTGCAAGTGGAGTGGCAGGTCTCATAAAGGCACTTCTTGTTCTCGAACATGGTGTCATTCCTCCGATTGCCGGCTTGGAAAAGTTGAATCCTCGCATCGATGCAGATCAATTGGGCTTACATGTAAGATTCTTCTGTTTTGTCTTCTCTTTTCTATTTCCTTTCTCCTCCTCTCTCTATGTGTGCGCATGTCTCTCCGTTGGTGGCATTTCCGATTGGGAAGGTGGCGAGCCATCCCATAGAGAGATCACCAGGTCTTTTCTCTCCCCCTTTTCTTCTTCTTCTCCTCCCCCATGCTCGGTTCCCCAGTCCTTGATTGTCCTCCTCTCTTTTGCCTCTCTCACATCTTACCTCGGTCCTGTCATCTTGACTCGCGAAAATATATCTCTAACGTCTGCTAGTTCCCCCAAAAAGCGATTCCTTGGCCCACAGAGGGTCTTCGACGAGCATGTGTAAGTGATAATCCAAGATCATCCATTAAACTTATCCGAAAACCAGACTAACAGTTATTCATCAGGTGAATTCATTTGGGTTTGGTGGCACGAATGCAATTGCCATTCTGGATGACGCCTATCATTATCTCAGTTCACGCGGCCTCCATGGCTACACTCGAACCCGTGTTTCTCCACCCAGCGTCAATTCGATTGCCTTGACGAACTATATGTTCGCTCCTGACCCCATGAATACTGATGGAAGCAGCTCCGAGGACGTTTCAGGGAATAAGTCGGAAGGCATGAGCAAATCACCAAAGCTTCTTGTTCTATCGGCCGCGGGGCAAACGGTTTGTCAGAATGTCGCGTTGCAGTATCGAGAATACATTGAAAGGAATCCCCACGAATTTGCCAGCTTAGCCTACACTCTTGCGGAAAGAAGAACTCTCTTTTCGTGGAGGTCATTCATCATTGTCGACTCATGTGGCACAAACCTCCATGAAGAATCCGGACTGAATCCGGTACGAGCACGGAGCGATTCCCGAGTTGCATTTGTCTTCACTGGACAAGGTGCTCAGTATTTGGGGATGGGCCGTGAGCTTCTATGTTTTCCCGTTTTTCAAGGTTCCTTGAAAACTCTCCAATGCTGTCTAGAGGACCTGGGAGCTTCATGGTCTCTTCATAATTTCCTGGAAGTCCAGGAGAGCTCTGTCTCAATTGACGAGCCAAAATACAGTCAACCATTGACAACCTGTCTTCAAATCGCATTGGTCGATCTAATCAAGAGCTTTGGAATCTCACCTACCATTGTCGTTGGGCACTCATCAGGGGAGATTGCTGCCGCATACGCAGCTGGCAGCTTGTCCAGGACCTCTGCTGTGAAGATCGCATACTACAGAGGTCTATTATCATCCAACCTGGCAGATAGAAGAGAGAATCTTTCTATGATGGCCGTTGGGTTATCAGCTGGTGACACAACTTCCTATCTTCATCGCTTAAAAGAGTACATCGGCGATCTGAAAGTATCGATTGGCTGTGTCAATAGCCCCCGAAGTGTGACTCTCTCCGGCGATGTAGAGCAATTAGAGATCTTGCAGAAGTGGTTTGACGAGAACTCAATCTTCGCTCGCAGACTCCGCGTCACAAATGCATACCACTCTTCTGTCATGGACGAGATTTCACATGAATATCGAGAGGCCATGAATAAACTCGAGTTAGGAGAGAATGTCAAACACATCCCCATGATTTCATCAGTGACGCAGGATGTTGTGACTCCCAAATCTTTATGCCAGGCCGACTACTGGATCCAAAATTTGACATCGCCTGTTGAATTCCAAGGGGCATTGGCCAAAGTCCTTGCCCAGGCTGGCAAAAGCAAAGGCCCGCGCAAGCAACTCGGCAAATCGCGCTCAATTGATCTTTCCGTCTCTCATATCCTTGAGATTGGTCCTCATGGCGCTCTCCGAGGGCCTATCAATGACATTTTGAGGGAATCTTCAAGCACAGAAAAGCCCTCATACATTCAAACACTTGACCGTAAGAGCCGTGCTGATCAGTCTTTGCTTGCTGCCATTGGAAAGCTTCACTGTGCCGGATTTCCGGTGGACCTTCACGCAGTCAACTCTGTCAACAAACGTCCTCAAGCCATACCGCACAGTCTGCCGCCATATCCGTTCGACCATACTCGATCCTATTGGAATGAAGGGCGTATTAGCAAGGGTACTCGATTTCGAGACACACCCCGCCATGACTTGTTAGGAACAAAAATTATTGACTGGAACCCGGAAGTCGCGCAATGGCGAAATACTATTCGCTTGAATGAAGCCCCATGGCTTCGCGATCATAAAGTTGACAATCAAATCGCCTTTCCCGCCGCAGGAATGATGGCGATGGCTATAGAGGCGTTCCGGCAACTCCACCCCTCAAGCCTGATTTCTATTCACATGAAAGATGTCGAGTTCTTACGTGCTTTAATATTTGGTGGCAACGCGAATGCAATTGAAACTTCGCTTGTTTTGTCCAGGATA